CGCACACGCGCACACGCGCACGCGCCCACGCCCCCACGCCCCCACGCCCCCACGCCCCCACGCCCCCACGCACCCACGCACGCAGGCACGCACGCACTCACGCACGCACGCGCGTCGCGCGCAGGCGCGCACGCGCACACGCGCACACGCGCACGCGCGCACGCGCACGCGCGCACGCGCACACGCGCGCGCACGCGCACACGCGCACACGCGCACATGCGCACACACGCACACACGCACACACGCGCACACGCGCACACGCGCACACGCGCACACGCACACACGCACACACGCACGCACCCACACACACAAACACAAACACAAACACAAACACAAACACAAACACAAACACAAACACAAACACAAACACCACTAACACAAACACAAACACAAACACAAACACAAACACAAACACAAACACAAACACAAGCACAAGCACAAGCACAAACACAAACACAAACACAAGCACAAGCACAAGCACAAGCACAAGCACAAGCACAAGCACAAGCACAAGCACAAGCACAAGCACAAGCACAAGCAAAAGCACAAGCACAAGCACAAGCACAAGCACAAGCACAAGCACAAGCACAAGCACAAGCACAAGCACAAGCACAAGCACAAGCACAAGCACAAGCACAAGCACAAGCACAAGCACAAGCACAAACACAAACACATACACAAACACAAACACAAACACAAACACAAACACAAACACACACACAAACACAAACACACACACACACACATCCCACCTCGAGAGGAAACAGAACACGAAACAACTCGAGAAAACCGCCAACAACAAGCAAGAACCTCGAGGAACCCAAAATGCAAATCCGCCCCGGGAAAACCAAAGCAACAACAACAATAACAACAACCCTGAGAACACCAAAGCAAAGATACACATTTCAGAGCTCTTTCAACATGAGCTGTTTTCTAAAGAGTTCCAAATCACGTGTGTTTTGGCGTTGTCAGGTTTGTTTGGTTTTCTCGAGTCGTTTTTTGGGTTCCCGCTAATCGGTCATAGTTTTGCCTGGGCTTGTCAAGACGTTTCCACTGCATTGGTTGGAGTTTGGCAATTGACCAGCTTGACCCTCCGGAAGACTGCCACCCTGAAAATGCGCAGACAGCTGGGCCACCTGTTCTATTAATTCAAGGGCTTAAAGAATTGCACAGATTCTGTCTCATGATCATGACTAAGTTTGGTTTCCAAGTCCCACAACCCCATTCTAATTATGTAGGTTGCTCTTCATGGACTCTCTGAGCCGCCCAGAGTTCGTCAATTTGAGCCGTGATCAACCGAGAAGGCGCAGCTGGCCCCTCAAACTTCGCATAGAAAGGGGATGCCCGGTTTTGGGTCGGGTAGATGGACCCGAAGATGACGAAGAGCCTGGACGAGATCGGGAAGTGCATGGCGAAGCTCGCGACTGACAGGGCGCGGCGACTGACATCCGGGTTCCCTCTGCTGAGACGGGTTGATGGGGAGTCCGAAAAAACGCTCAAGGACTTGGACCGGCCCAAAATTTCTATGGCCTTATGGTTTGGAGCTTTTCCGGGACTTGGATCCCGGACATTGGCCTTTCGGTTTGCTTTCAAGTTTCGATTCTCGGAACATTATCTCGAAAAGGGATCCCCTATTCAAGGACACACTCGAATTGGGGAGGCTTTGAACCCACCTTGGTTGGTTTCACTTGTTGCAAAAGGCCGCTGACCACGCAGTTGCGGTGGTTTGTCCAGCTTTGCAACAACAGAGCTTGAGATGCTCGGTTTGGGGTCGGGCTGTCTAGGCATGATTTGCTTTGAGATCACTTGGACACCAGCTCATGGATGCAGGCAGGTGAAATGAGCGGTTCCGGCTCATGATTAAGGCGTTTTACCCGGTTTTAGATCGATTTGTTATTTCCAGTCGGTGACATACTGTGGATGGACGAAATCCTGCACCACCTAAGAGACTCTGGAATGATGATTCCCCTTGATAATACCAACCGACAATAGTTTCCCGTGCTGGCAAAGTGGTGCGAAATGGATATTTGTGCAGATGAATCCAACAGAATATCATATCAAGGAAACCCACACGATCAGCCAGCCGGAAGCTCTTCTCGCCAGATGGCCTTCGAAATGAGTTGCGCCTCTGATTAGGTGTCAACTTCCTGGGAGTCATGTATTTGGGACCTTTTTGGTTTGTTTTGTCTTCGCATGCGACACACGATGGCACCAAGCTTCCTTCAGATTTTCGACAATCCCTGGAAGAAACTAACGGAGGGTCCCTTAATTGGAGGCACACCGATTGCAGGCGTGATGTGGCCCATTGCCTTTTTGTCCATCCATTCGTTAACACATACTTGGTCGCCTCAAAAAAGAGCTAGCGGCCCGTCCATTTGTTGATCCAAGGGGGGTAGCCACAAAAGACTGGGAATCTCCTTCTGAAATTGCGTTGCAGGGCACACCTCAAGGAGCGCCATTTCTTGCGGTCCCAGATCTGGGTTGTTCCAAGTCAATTCGTACCTTTGAAACCAACGAGTCCAGATTCGGAACCACGGGGTGCCCTGTTTGAGCAAAGGCCTATGTCAGGAAGCAGGCACATGTTCCGGCGGACCCGGTCCAGGGCCTGCGGGTGGAGATCGATTCTGCGCAGGCCCTGAACCGCCAAACCCGGATGGGAGGATCTCTTTCACGGTCCCCCTGAAAACGGCCACACAAAATCAGGGCTCCTTAAAAGATACATTTTGCCCACTTGAAACATGGCCTTTTCCACCAAAATAAAGGGAAGACACCATTTACAAGGCAATGTTCAGGTGTATAATGTAAGGATCCCTGCAAAATGACATGGTCGCAAGAGGTGGACCTACTCTTGTCAAGCCTTTGCCTCACCCGTAAGCTTCTTTTTGGCGGGTGTCGAACCGTGAAAAGGGGGCATGAGGCTCGAAGCAGCAACTCGCGCCGGGAGGTTCGCGCCACTCTCATGTCACGTCTCCGAAGTCAAGCTTGGAACGAAAGCTGAGCTCCAAACCTGGATGTGTTCAATCCAGGACCCCTCCCAATATCTCTCTCGCTTGCCAATGTCCGATTCAAACATCCCACATTGAGGGTCTCCGGGACCTGGCTTTGCAGTCATTCTTGGCGGGTCCTGTGATGCCTTCCGGAACTTCCAGCTGGGGATCCCTCCAGATTGTGACCATTTGACCTGTCGCCGCTCACACGCACTTCAGTTGCCCTTTTGGTCTGAGGATCTTCTCAAGGGACAACTAGGGGGTTGGATTCTTGGATCTGCCGCAACCTGGCGCTGCGGCTCAAGCTGTCAAGAATCAGCACTTTGGACGGCGCCCTTTCGGCTTGTCAGATGGAAGAGGACGCCAGCTCTGGGGATTCGATCCCTAAACAGCGACCTTAGCAGACGTCTTGATCCGGCCCAAACCCAACTGGCATCAAAGCAGGGGGGCTCCTTTGGATGTGAGAGTAACAAAAGGCTTCTCCATGGTGCTTAGGCGTTTTTGTGGTGCGCACACTTTACTCATCAAATCACACTGGGGCGCCACCCAGAACCCCCTCCCCTCCCCTTTCCCCCCTGTGCCAGGCGAAGGAGAAGTTCAGAATGAGCAAGCAGCTGATGATCAGATGAAGGCTGGAGAGAGCGGGCGAGGGTTTTGCGCCGACACCAACGATAGGCCTTTTGCATGGGGGCGGGTTGCTGGTTCCAGGGCTTGGGAGGCTTCTCGGGATTGTGCTTCCACTTCTGGATCCAAGTGACCGCCCGGGGTCCTACCACCCCTTTCCAGCGAATATGGTTCATGATGCTTGCGTTTTTTGCCAACACATCTGGTTCTCTTTTCCCTTTCTTTGTGTTTTCAGTGTAGCTGATGTCGTTTTCTGCCGCTTAAGAATGAGGGATGATTGGAATCTGTCCAAAAAGGGCTCCATTTTGTTGATCAGATCCTGCATTCCAGCTCGTCAATCTCCCAGATAAAATACAGATGGGGCGTGTCCGACATGGTGAAGCCAGCCTTTTGCAACAGCCGTATTTGACATGTGCCCTCGCGCTTGTAGGCGACGCTTCCTGCCCTTCTCCTTGTTGCTTTTGCAATGCAAGTGTTTTGCTCTTCTTTCTTCCGCTCTCTTTTCTCATCTTCCCCTGGTCATGTGTCCCTTCCTTTCCCGTACAAATGCTGACTGCATCTCGGACCTCACTCAGAGACTAGCGACCGCAGGTGGCAGCCAGTTAGCCGGTGGTCAAGGGCAGCCGCATTGGCCGCCCGGCCGGAGGTACAGCGCAGCGGGAAAAAAAGGAAAACACTTCCTCCGAGGGAATCGGGTGTAGCCCCTAAAAATTGACCATGGAACTTGGAAACATGAGGTGCCAAGAGTTCCTCTACAGGCGAGCTTCGGTGAGATTCTATTCTGCCGGGGATTCTTCCCTTGCTATTTCCTGGATCTGTTTATGACTGAGCACGGTTTGTTTCCATTACATCCCTTTTGTGGCGGCGAGTGCTCCGGTATCTCCACCGGGCTTCTTGCTTTGGCGTTGGAGATCTGGCTGTTGCATTCCTTCGAGTGGACAAATTCCGCAGTTTGCTGCGGCAGGGTGCACTTAGCACTTGGCAAAAAAGGCTGGAACCAGCCGAACGCTTGTTAAGCTCTGGTCAGAATTTGTGATCATGGGCACAACCTTCGAGGCACAGATTGACTCAAGTTGGCACAGGGGCACACCCACACACAGACACACCGCGACAAATCTGTCCGCAGCCCGTTCGCAATGTGTCCCGCTCGGGCTAGAGCCTACCTGCAAGATGTCGGATCCGGAAGCAAAAGGCACGACGGGCCCGGGAGTGAAAGGCGAACTCGCCAGAGCACAAGGAATAGAGCCACGGTCATTTGAGTATTCAGAGAAACTCCTACGATTTGTCTCTGGAACACAGTCTTTTTTGGCTTTAGTGGAATCAGTGTGGAAGCATGGGGCTAGGTCAGGTAGCAGATGGGTGTTTCCTATGTGTCCTAAATCACATCGAAACTGGGTGTGATTGCTCTCTGTTTCTCGAGCAGCGCCCCCCCCCCCCCTTGACTTTAGTAGAGACTTCTACTCCGGGTTCAGCAGAGCTTCTCGCGAGGGCCCATTTTGGCAAATTTGGCCCTCGCTGCTCAAATCGTGCTTTCCGGCATTGTTTGTGCACTGGTATTGAGCTTTGCCGCTGCAGTTCAGAGCTCTCCTAGCATGAAGGTCCCTCAGAAATTGCCCGCAGTCTGCTTAGTGAATAGTTTTCCGCGCAGATGCTTTCGACACTTCTGAAGCAGGCGGAGGCGGGCGTGCAAGGAATGTGTGTACTAGATTGGAGTGGAAAAGATTATGTAAGAGCACATCCCGTAAGTTCCACAAAAGTGCAAAGTCGCTGTAAACCGAGAAAGACTGAACGTCGAAATGGGGAGATGTTTGACGGTTTTTGCGGGCATGAGGGTTGCGGGAGGGGCGCAGTTTTCGTGGGTAGAGCTGGCATTGAGGTTTGCTTGCACAGGCATTGATACGTTCCCCGACTTGCAAGCGCTGCTCCAAGACGCGAACTCAAGCCCTTTTCGCTGCGACGCCTCTTCAAGCTCCGCAGGAGCTCCAGCCAGGCTGCGGTGGAGGAGCAGATCTTGGCTCCAGACGAGGACAGGAACTCGGGGGACCGTGTGTGGGTGCGTGTGTGTTTGTGCATTCTTGTGTGTGTGTGTGTGTCTTTGCGTGTCTGTGTCTGTAGCTGGGTCGGTGCGTCTGTGTCTGTCTGAGTTTGTCTGTGTCTTAATTTCTGTGTCTTTATCTCTGCGTCTATGTGTGCGTCCGCACATACTTCCAACAATATGTCTTTTTTTTGTGGGAGCAGGAATCCTGAGCATGCACCCTGCATCCACCAACACAAGCATCAGCATGACTAGTTTCCATACTGCATCCAACAAGTGATGCAGACAAGTCAATCAACGGGTACCAAGTCTACAACTGCATGAAGGTGAATCAGCTTTTGTTGATAGGAGCGTCTTGCAACCGCTTACAGCGCAGTCCCACAAAGCTATTTCCACATCCGGCTGCAACCAACACCACGTGACATTGCATATCCACGTACTGCCTGTGCCATTTACAGGATGGTGCTTATACATGTTTGTCGTGCGAGAGTTTCAGCCCGCACCAGACCGTCAGATGTGTTGCCATGCGTTGCCGAAGAGGAGCTCTCGGGGCCGCGCGAGTCGAGAGTCCGAGGCGTGGCCTTGGACTTGAGAGTTGTCCTTTTCATGTGGGGCATGCTTCGGGGGAGCTAAAGCAAGGCACTTGATTTCGTCGGGACTGTCCGCTGTATCTTTGATTTATCTTTCAAGCTAAGTCTGTGGCAAGGCAACTACGAAAGGTTTGCTCAGGCCGAGCAACTGATATTTAGGCTTTGGAACCCTGAAGCCCATTCCGGGATTGAGAACAGCAACCCTGCGCGCTGTATCTAACATGGGCTCTGTTTCTGGGCTGAAGCAAGAGTCCCCGAGGACCGGCACGTCTGTCAGTAGCAACAATGCGAGGGAGGCAGCCCCCGTTGTGCGAGAGTTGTCCGGAGATCATTTGCGGAGTCACAGACAAATTTGTCGCGGTGTGTGTGTAATTCCTGATTGGAGCTTCTCTCTGAAGGCAACTTGTGATCGACTCGCAGCCTTGTCTTTCCAGCCCCAAGTCGATAGCATCGCGGCTACCTGTTTGCAATGCCCCAACATCGGCGCTCAGTGCTGTTCTGGTTGGTGGCTGCAGCCCTTTTGCCCGGCGCAGTGGGACAAGGTGGCGGAGGAGCAGGTGGAGCATCATCAGGAGGCGGAGCGCCACCAGAAGGAGGAGGAACGCCACCAGAAGGAGGTGGAGCGCCACCAGAAGGAGGAGGAACGCCACCAGAAGGAGGGGGAACACCGCCAGAAGGAGGCGTAACACCACCAGAAGGAGGCGGAACACCGCCAGAAGGAGGCGTAACACCACCAGAAGGAGGCGGAACACCGCCAGAAGGAGGCGTAACACCACCAGAAGGAGGTGGAACACCACCAGAAGGGGGTGGAACACCACCAGAAGGAGGCGGAGCAGGAGGAGGAGGATCAGGTGGAGGCGCGGCGTTGACGGAGCCGCACATCACCATCAATTCCGATGTAGAGTGCAGGATTAATGCGGCCGGCCCGCAGACCATTACTGGTTACATTTACTGCGACAACTACTTTGAGTTTTGGTTCAATGGAGTTCTCGTGAAGAAGGACCCGATGACATTCACACCCCACAACGCGGTTGCCGTCTCGTTCGAATGGGACGGCGTTTCTGACAAGGAGTACGCGATTATGTGCATGGACTACGCTAGCAGCTCCGGGTACGAGTACGTCGAGACTTCGAACCCGGGACTTGGGGATGGGTCGCTCATGGCGGAGTTTTCGGATGGCACTGTGACTGGCGCTGCCTGGAATGTCTTCGTGCTGACCATGGGGCCTACCGACGCGTCCATTGCGGCAGGGTGCAGCAGCAGCAATCTGGCGCCATGCGCGGTTGTTTCCACGGCAGAGCCTGCAGGACAGGGTCAGGCGAAACACGTTTATTGTGTTTTGTTTTCGTTTTTCTTCTTTTTTCCTCTCTTTTTTCTCTTCTTCTTTTTTTTCTTCTTTGTCTAAACCGTTTAAACATAAACGCGTTTAAACACATAGACTGACCTCGTATATAAACATAAACATGTTTGAACAAGGTGCGGCCAGCAGCCCAAGTTTAAACACTTTTGGGCGTTCAAACGGTGAAGGCCACTGAGCTTTGTGCAAGGAAGGTTGATTGTTTCAGCATGTTTGAGCAGACCGGGCACTTGCCTGGGTTCTAGGGGGTTGCTCAAACGGCTCCTGTGTGTTGAGACCGCCCCCCATGTGAACTGTTCTCTGTGCATGGTGGAATAGCTCACAGTTTCAGCATGTTTGGGCAGACGGGAACTTGCCCGCGGTTTGGGGGCGTTCAAACGGCGCCTGGGTGTTTAACCCCCCTCCCATTCCCCCGAAGTTTTAACCGTTGTGGAAGTTTAAACAGCTCAAGCCCCCAGTTCCGGAATGCCTTTGAACACTTGAGTCCGACTATGCAAAGGTGCGGGTGTTACGGGGACCGCCACCGCGCACAGCTTGAGCGAGCGTTGAAGCATCTTCGCTTGGCTTAAACGTCCCCTTTGTTTAAACATTATTTTGGTGTTTAGCAACCTGTTTCGGCGTTTCGCTTAAACATAGAGTTTTGCTCCCAGTCCTGTCGCAGGATGGATGGCGGGTGGCTACCAGGCCAGCGGCGGATGGGTGTCAGCGACTGAATACACCGCCGCGCAGGCGGGTTGGGGGAGGACACCGACTTGGGACGCCACCAGGAATTGCTGCGGTACGGCCACAAGCCCGGCAACGCAGGAAACGCTGACCAACAATGGCGGCTGCTCGGTGAATTACGACAGCGCCAACCCAGCCGGGGCTTCTGTTACAGTAGCAGCAGATGAGTGCTTGGATCCGAAGGCCTTCTTGTCCGAGACCAGGTCGAAGATGATCTGGTCCTCCGACTTGGAGCGGGACAACAAGCTCCTGTTCCGCATCAGCGTGCCTGCCGATGCGTCGACGGTGGTGCAATGTCCCACGTGCAGTGCACCAACGGTTGATCAAAGCACACAACGCGTGCGCAGGGAGTTGCGAACGCTCAGCGCAGCAGAGTGGAAGAAGGTGACGGATGCCATGTGGGTCATGAAGAACACGGCGCAGGCGGCCGGTGTCGAGACATATGGCCAGGCGTTCCGTACCTATGACTACTTCCCGGCCAAGCACGCCGCGGCGTATGCCGACGTGCGCGGCGACCAGGCGCACTTCGGACCTCAGTTCATGACTTGGCACAGCGCCTTCGTCTTGGAATTCGAGAATGCGCTGCTGAGTGTGGACAGCACAATCGGTGCGTTGCCATACTGGGACTCAACAGTGACCTCTCCGTCCATCTTCTCGGAGACCTACTTCGGAAGTGCTCCTGGCACAGGCTCCGACTCTCAGGTTGTCGACGGTGCCTTCCCGAACTGGCCAATCAAGTCGAGCTTTTCCCTGTCAGATTACAATCCAACCGGCAGCTCTCCATACACTGGCTCGCCCATCGGAATGCTGCGGGGGCCCACCAACAACAACGCGAATGCGATGATGACGCGCTTCGGCTCGGGCACATATTCCTTTGGCGCCAACGAATTCTGGATATGCGCGAACTTGGACGGGTTTTGGTATGACTGGTACAAGTGCGTCGAGGGTGATGCGACTGTCACCGGGAGCTTCCACGGAGGACCCCACGGGCAGGTGGGAGGCAGCTCGGGTGGCAACAGCGGCGACTTCGAGGACCCGGTCACATCGCCGAATGACCCGCTCTTCTTCTTCCATCATGCAGGGGTGGACCGCAGCATGCGTTGGTGGATGCTGACGAACGCAGCCAAGCGCAGCACCTTCTACGGCTTCCCTGCAGCTGACGCCGAAGGGATTCGCGAAAATGCCGGGAAGAGCTATTATGGGCAGAACCTCCTTGACGTGATGTCAAGCACGTGGGGCTTCACTGCCGCTGACCTTGGCTTCGGTACCTCCTCCAGCTTTCAGACCAACGCGGACCTGCTTTGCCACAACGGTCCCTCCACGAGTGCGTACACCTATGACTCGGAGGTGGCTTGCTCAGGCGGAAGCACAGCGTGCTCGGCGGTTTGGGGCGACGGCAGCGGCTTCGGGAGATACCACGACGGCAGCGGCTTCGGGCGATACCACGACGGCAGCGGCTTCGGGAGATACCACGACGGCAGCGGCTTCGGGAGATACCACGACGGCAGCGGCTTCGGGCGATACCACGACGGCAGCGGCTTCGGGAGATACCACGACGGCAGCGGCTTCGGGAGATACCACGACGGCAGCGGCTTCGGGCGATACCACGACGGCAGCGGCTTCGGGAGATACCACGACGGCAGCGGCTTCGGGAGATACCACGACGGCAGCGGCTTCGGGCGATACCACGACGGCAGCGGCTTCGGGAGATACCACGACGGCAGCGGCTTCGGGAGATACCACGACGGCAGCGGCTTCGGGCGATACCACGACGGCAGCGGCTTCGGGAGATACCACGACGGCAGCGGCTTCGGGAGATCCCACGACTGCAGCGGCTTCGGGAGATACCACAACTGCAGAGGCTTCGGGCGATACTACGACAGCAGAGGCTTCAGGCGATACCGCGATGGCAGAAACCAAAGTCCGAGCTGCCAACGCGGGCCACCGGCGGCACACAGCAGCCACGGTCTTGACATTAAGCCTCCTTGCGGCCTCTGCCAATTAATTGCACTCGCTTATGACAAGTCTGCGAAGGTCAAGAGACGCGATTGCGTTTTACCCCTCCCCAGCTAGCTGCTTCTATTTAGGCGAGCAACAAAGTTGCGCCAAGGCTTTTTTCCAAGTTGGCGAGGGTGGACACCTTCCCGGCTGTGCTTTGCTTTCTTGCTTTGGGCGACGGGGTTGGCGAGGGTGGACACCTTCCCGGCTTTACCCTTGCCCAGAAATTCGTTTGTTTTCTCATGCATCTCATTCCCTCGCTTTGCTTGGAATCATTATTGATAATTAGACGAGCGGTGGGAAAAGCATGGATTGTGAAGGACCGCTCAGTCGTCTCTCCCTTTATCGTCAATTACTCATGTTTTTTTCCCGTCATGGCCTACCTTCGCCGCTTTGACATGAGTTGTTTCTGCCTTTGAAGCGCGAAAGTCCTCGTTTGCCAGGCAGGGTCCCATTTTAGAGGACATCCAGGTTCGACATTTCCTGCTTCTGCCCAGAGGCAGTGGTGGCCTGAGTCAGCGCAGTCCAAGTGAGGCATCCAAGCAGCAAATGTATTCACATGCGGGTGGGGGCGGGATCCAGGCCCAAAGCAAGCGGTGGATGTGTTCTTCTGGCTTTCCCTTTTCCAAGGAGGCTATGTTGTTTGTTGCTAGGAATGGCTCGCAGCTTAGCAAGGCTCCGAGACTGGTTGGTTGGTTGGTTGGTTGGTTGGTTGGTTGGTTGGTTGGTTGGTTGGTTGGTTGGTTGGTTGGTTGGTTGCTTGCTTGCTTGCTTGCTTGCTTGCTTGCTTGCTTGCTTGCTTGCTTGCTTGCTTGCTTGCTTGCTTGGTGGGTGGGTGGGTGGAGGGTGAGTGGGTAAACAAGTGCATGGATGAGTAAATTAATTGGTTAATTAGTTGGTTGGTTGGTTGGTGAATTGGTTGGTTGCGTTGGCGGGTTCTGGAGGGTTGATTGGCAGAGAGGCATGACAGGGCTGGCCACGCGACCATCAAGAAATACACATGACACCCCCCTTCAGCAATGGTAAACACTGCTCAACAAGGCACAAAACCTGACACACCCCAGTTCAATCCTAACCTAAGCCATGCCAAGCGGGTGGTCACGCCCCAGCTAGCACCAAACAACCCAAAAGCCTTAAAATCGTCTAAAGCCCACCCTATTCCTGCAGCAAGACTTTGAGCGGCTTGAAACCAGCCCTGCAATGCAGCATGGGCTCATGCCTGTCTTGCGGTGGCAACAGATCAGGGGAACAATGAGCCCGGTGATGCTGGGGATGTTTCCCCCCTCTTAGTCACAGTCACTTCTTGCAGCTAGCCACTCCGAACAAGGAGCCCACTCCTTAGCGAAAAGAACAAGTCCCGACCTGTTGTAAACGCTGGAGGGGAAGGCTCCTGCTTGGCATCTTGTGGGGTGGGCGCATGATGTTTGAGAACTCACCGGAAACTGGGATCGAGAACTACTCGAGTGCGGGCGCTCCACAGCTCATCAATCTCAAGCAACAAACCAATCCTGCATCAAGTGAACGGACATGAGCGGACAAGGACCAATCCCTTTTCCAGCCAAATCGGGTGCCCTCCGAACTGGAAACAAGACGTCGATCTTCTTCGGCCTGATCAGTCCCTTGCAGCCTTTGTCCAAATCGGCTCCCTACCTTTCTGATACTGGTTCAGAACTTCAATCTCTCAGAACGATTTGAAGCAGCAGAAGTCAAGCACACATTTCCGCAAGCGCGCCGGTTTCGAATGGGTTTTGGTCAAATGCAGCGGGCAAGTTCGCGGGGAGTCAGTGAGAGTGATTTTCGGAACCTTTAGGAGGACGATGACCCCTGTCCATAAAATCCGTCTTTGCCTGAGGTGTCGCAGATGACGAGAGGCCAGCAAAACGATTTTTTACGATTTGGCAGGAGTATGTTTTAGTCAGCGTGCTTTGAATGTGAGGTGTGCGGATGAAAAGGGCCATGTAGCCACAGCTCAGTTTCGACCCGCGCGACAGGGTCCGATGTTCGAGGGTCCAGAAATTAATTCGGTGACTTGGATCGGCGGTTTGAGTGCCAAACCTGGCAGAGGCTGTCGAGAACTGCCAAACTAGGTTACGGGCGCACAGGTTGCCCTGTGGCTTCGGGCCGCACCACGCTATTTCCCCACTGGAATTCCGCACATTCCAGTCAGGCATCAAAAAACTGGGAAGGCTTCAGGTTTGCATTTGCATCCAAGAGAGACCTTCGCCAAATCCACTGGTAAGTACGGTGACGCAGATGCTCATTCACATCTGAGCCCTCGCGCCGCTTCTGCTTGCGATGGAGATTGTAGGACAGCCATCGCTTTAGAGACAACCACTGGCGGTCTATACATTGCGTTCCTGCTTTGGAGCTTGTGCCCCGCGGCACTTGAATTTTGGCCAGGTCTCTGCAAAACTCCCTGACTTGGCGTGAAACTTGTTGGCACATGGTGGCACATGATGGCCAGGCCTTCGTGCCGTCAGAGTGTAAGACCCTGGTCACTTGTCGCAGAAGCTGCGATTCGCGGATGTCTTGCAGGCTCTTGACCGGAGGGCGGCTATTGGGCATAGTTGCCTTGGACTGGCTGGCACCTTCTCGCAACGTGTTTTCAAGCTCACCCCCTAGATGTCCCAACAGTGGGCCATGAAAAACAAGGTACATGCCTGCCAAGGCGCCTTGCGTCGAAGAAAGGCAATCGCCATCGGCCCTCCCCTCTGCTTCTTACCCAGAACGCGAATGTGAGGGCTTTGGCCGCCTCCCCGGCACGCTGGGAGATCTCCTGTATTTGGTTGCTGTAGAGCTTGTTGTCTGCACGGACGCAAAAGCGACCCAGCGACGTTGTTCTTGCGAAGCGTGGTGCTAGTGAAAATTGATTGCCCACGGTCACCAGCGTCTGCAGGAAATGGTCTGCCTGAGTTCAGCCTGCGCCGCGTGTCATGATCAGGTCCTCGGCAGTGAGAGGCTTCTGCAAGTTGGCGCAGCAGTATACCTGCAAGACTTCTTGGGCTCCACGCGCAGACCAACGAAGCAGGATGCTGCTAGAAAGGGCATCCGGGAGCGGCATCTCCATTGCAAGCAGCGCCAGTGCCAGAATTCTTTGCGGCCCTTCTGATTCATGACAATGAGTCCTTCCAAGCGCTTGTGCCCGCAACGCAATCTTCGGCCTCTTCGCCAAGGAGTGCCTAAAAAGCCAAGCAGCAGCGTCTTGGTTGCTCTCTGTCGGCACGGGCATGGCTGCGGCGAGGTCTGCGATCGCCAGCCTTCTGTTTTCCTTGGTACAATTTCCGAGCGCGATCTTGCCACTTTTCGGGGCATGCGACCTGGAGTCCATGTTCTTGCTTGGCTGCCGCTCCTGGCTCGTGGACAACGTTCCCTTCAAAGACTGCGCCAGCTTTGCACCACGATGCTTACACTTCTCCAGTCGATGCGAAGAAGACCCACATATACTGCACTTGTGCTTGTGAGATCTTGCAGAGACCATGGCTGAAGCTGCTATGCGCCCCGCTAGGCCCCCACCCACATGTGCTGAAATTGGGCCACTGGCGACGCTGCCAGACAAAGCATGCCAGCCCTTGGCTGGAAGCATGGACGCAGGCTGATGCAAGAGCCGAATGCCTTTGTCTAGCGTGCGTCCGCACTGCGGCGCAGCAAGTAGCGCAGGTCATTGTACTGCACCCGCATGGGCCTCGGGAGCTCCTGAAATCTACTCAAGTCAAGAGGCCTAGATCCCCAGCAAACGCGAGAGCCCGTAGTCGCGTGGCGCAGAACCAGCGAGAGCGCATCAGCTTCAGGCGTCCCATGTTGGGCAGGCTGCGGATTACCCACGGCGTCATAGCACGCAGGCAGCGCGGGCAGCGCCCCCATTTGCATAGCTTGGTTAAAAAAAAACAGGAAGGCGAGGGCGAGCAGGCCGTGCCTCCGGCTCTGGTCGCGGCTCTTGTTTAAGAAGCTCATGCGCCCGGGCTCTCTCGCGGGCCAAATACTCCGCAGCCACATCCAAAGCAACTCTGCCAGGGTCTGCGCCGGACAGACGATCTGCTTGGTCAATATCAAAGAGGCTGCGGCGCAATGGCATCATGGAGCTGGTCTTCCTGCGGCAACGGCTCAGCGCACCAATGCCAGGAAATATGAAGGAGCCCCAGCGACGTTGCAGCCTTGATACAGGAATGACTGCTGATGCACGAGGCCCTGGGGCAATCCCACGGTGCAGAAAGATCAGAAGAAACACCTGCAGCAGCTCTGTCCCCTTGCGAATCAAGTCCAACCATGGTAGAGCACTTGTGCGCTGCGAGGTAAACTCGTAAGCCATGATCTGGCGTAACTCCCACTCTGCGGGCCCGGGTTCTGCGTGCTGACGCAGTGTAAACTGGTGACCATCCAACTCACTGAAACTGACTGTCCAAAATCTCTCCAGGCAAGCCCATGCAGGAGGGCAGCGTGGCAACTCCAGCCGAAGTAATATGACCAACGACAAAGAAGCCCGAAAACAGTCCATGGCGGCACAGGAGCGGTGTAATCGAGAAGACGTGGAACGAATGTATGTTTGGATGCAACGCAGTGTGAAAAACAGTAGATGAGAGCAGTGCTTGTGCCATCAAAAGGAGTCAGAGCAGATTTCTTGGTGCGCGTGCATGCTGCCTGAACGCTAACCACCCCCCCGGACCCCCCCCCCCCAACCCCAACGGGGAACGATTCCGATCTGTCCAAGAGGGCTCGATCTTTAGCCAAGCAGTTCTTAGGTGGGATTGTTCGATACGAAGAATTTGTTCCGCCGCCTGCGCTTGTTCTTGCTCTGCTTCCTTCGCCATTCTCTCTTGTGCTCCCTCTCCTTCCCCTCGTCATGTGTGCCTTCCTTCCTACAGCGCAGCGGAGCAAAAGAGAAAACGCGTTTCCCCGAGGGAAGCTGAACCCAGAAAATTAAACATGAGGCAGAATGAGGGTTCTCTAGGTTCCATGTCAATTTGCCGGGGATTCTTCCCATGCTCTTTTCTGAGATCTGTTTATGACTGGGGGTTCGTTTCCATTTGCTTTCATTGAAACCAACCTCCCCAAAAGGGCATCTTCGCAGAAAACATCCC